CGAATGAGGCAAGCCTGGAACAGATCTTCCTTAGTGGCGCTTGGAAGGAACCAAGCCTGTGGGTACCTCGACCCTAGACTTGTAGCTGCCAGATCTGTGGGACCATAAACTGCTGTTGTTTAAAGCTCCCAAGCTTGCGGGGCCTTTTCACGGCAGCCCTAGGGAACGAATACAGTGTGTTTAGAGAATGAAACCAAAGCAACTGTTTTGTCTTCTCCAATGAGTGTAAAGTCCTGTGAGTGAAAAGACAGAAGAGCCGGTCTGCAGATGCCCACCAGAGTCCCCTCTTCTCCACGATTCATTGGGATTCTCATCTCAGCGCCCAGGCCACCTAGTCACTCCTCCTGTGCGGTACCTTCTTCAGGTTTTTCTTCAGTCCTTGTCACGTGGGTGGCCTCTCCTACCAAAGCTCACTGCGTTTTTCGGCTGTTAGCTGATGGGATGTCATCGCAAGCCTCATCTTAGCTATTTCATATTTGCCTCATTATATTCCCTCCGTGTGACTTATTAACCTGACTAGTGTGTCAGAAGCTGCTGTTATTCTTTGTTGAGAACATCCCGTGGGGTAATACATAGTCCCAGCCATCGTGTCTGCTGTTTTCTGTCACATGCTTTATCCTTTATGACAATTCCAAATTTAACCGTGACACTCTTGCTTCCGAAAAGAAAGTTGAGAAAAGGGGAAAAAAAAAAAAAAAGGCGAAACGGTGTTGTTAGCAGTGGCAGGGAATCACGACGCTGCTGCCAGGTCCACAGTTTGTGGGCCTGTTACCATGGGCCCCGGTGGGTGTGGATCCTGCTAGTCCCTGGGCAGATGGTACCGCCTCCAAGACCTGGGTCCGCAAGTCTGGTGTTGAGACAAGGGTCCACTTCAGGGCCCACAGTTGGTCCCCAGTGTGCCTGTTACCAGGTGCTCAAATGGGTATGGCACCCTCCAGCTTTCTGGACAGGTTCCTCACTGACAGGACTAGCTCGTCTAGTCATTCATCTACTACCACAGATGAATGCAGCTGGCACGGCATCACAGGCCAACCTCAGGGGCCATAGCCAGGACCGAGGTAAGCAAGCCTGTCTCCACAAGCACAGGAGCCAGGTCACAGGGCCACTTCAAGATCTACAGGTAGACCGAGCTCACCAGGTCTGCCTCCGGGAGCACTGAGAAACAAGCCTGCTAGCCAGTCACAGACCATGGATGACTGCTCTGTGACCAGTGCTGAGAGGGACTGGAACTGCATCATGGGCTTCTGCATGGTCCACAGCTAAGACCAAGGTCAGCAGGCCCAGGTAGGTGTGACTCCTCACGGGTCCCTTGGCAGGTACTTCTGGTGATGGGACCAAAGCCAAACAAGACTTTTATGAAGTCCCCTGGGGACTTGCTGTTTCTGGCTCAGTAGCCAGGATCATGGTTGGCAAGCCTTCCACCTGGGTCCACGCCTCCCTTTCAATTTCAAATTGGTCCTCTTCAGTCCTGGGCTCCACCAGATTTTTACACGTTCCTACCTGGATCCCAGAGCTCCCACACATGCACTTCTCTCCACGGATGGCTGCCAGATCATTCTGCAGTGGGACAGGAAGGAACGCTAGCAGGGAACCTCCCATTTTCACGGCTTGCTGATATCACCTCTGGGGTGGTCCGTGTTTTCATTCAGCCAATAAATATGTAATCATGACTTCCTTAGAGCAACCATTTACAGTATTGGGTTTTTTTAAGTAATCATTAATATGCTTCTTTCCAGTAATATCTCTCCTTTGCATCATGCATATCCCCAGCAATAATGACCAAGTCTGTTACATTTCTTTGTGCTTTTTGTTTTATTTTATCACATGCCCTCTTTAAGCATTGGAACTAACACTAATTGCCATTATTTCTTCTCTAAACAGTATTTTGTTGTTTAAAAGAAAAGAGTAATTGAAACTATTTCTCCTTCCTATAATAGTAAACCAAGTCACTCAGGTGATTGTTTCACAGTTCCTTGTCCTGGACAAGGTGCCTGGCCAAGCCTGAGGCCCATGGCACAGGGAACCATATGTTCCCAAAAGGAAGAGCATCAAATATTTTTGAACAGAAGTAAAACCCACTGATTCTGAACTATTAATGCCCAGATTCACTTGGAAAAATAAACAGACATTCTCTCTAGAAGATGGTAGCTTCGCCATAGGCTTCAAGTAACTCTACCAAAATATCCAGCAAACAGACATCAGATCATAGAGAGTTCCTGCAGGAACTCCAAATATTGAGGTTATCGGAAAGAAACTGTGAAAGAGCTACTTACTGTGTTCAAGAAGATAAAAGCCAAGCTTAGATTTCAGCAGGGAACTATATCCTATTAACAGTAAAATAACAGATATGAAGATGTACTGCATAGAAATTCTAAAAGTGAAAAATATAGTGACCCAAGGTAACAAATCAGTGGATGGTTTTAACATCAGATTCAATACAGCTAAAGAGTGGGATTATCGAAGTGGAAGACAAATCAGAAGAAAATAATTAAAATGCAGCATGGAAAAACAAAAGGGTAGAAAATGCAAAGGAGAAGGGTAAGAGATAGAGAACACAGTCATGTGTCACATACTAATTAAATTCCCAGAAAAGAAAATAATAGAAAATAGAGACAATATTTACAAAGATAAAGGCTGAAAATTTATTAGTTTATAAAAAATATCATACAATTCAACAAGTCCAAAGAAATCCAGATAGAATATAGTTTTTAAAATCCTTGTGTAAAGACATCATGATAAAACTGTAGGATACTTTAAAAGCAGCTAGAGAAGCAAGCAAAGAAGTAGACTCACAGTGAACTTCTCATTCAACGGGAACATAGAAGCCACAAGAAAATACAGTAGTATCTTTAATATATTGAAAGAAAAGAAACTGCCAACAAGGAAAAGTATCTTTCCATAAATGAAAGTGAAATAAAAGATATTTTCTAATAGAAACAGAGTTCATCACCCGCAGATTCATGCTAAAAACAATTTCTAAAGATGGGGGGTTACTCTTAAAAGTAAAAGGAATAGAGGCACCTGGGTGGCTTAGTTGGTTAAACATCCAACTCTGATTTCAGCTAAGATCATGATCTCATGATTGTGAGATCGATCCCCATGTTAGTCTCCACACTGAGTATGGAGGCTGCTTGAAATTCTACCCCACCGTCTCCCTCTGTCCCTTACCCCATGTGTGTTCTCTGTCTCAAAAAATAAAAATGAATTTTAAAATTAAAAATATATAAGGAATAGAGGTCAAATAATGTAACTAATATATGAATAAAGCTAAATGAATACCGACTATAACATCTAATGTCTTGTATTTAAATATGCATAAATATTTACATATAGATTCTATTATAATACATTACAAAAAATAGCATATAAATAAGAAGTAAAGGAAGTTAAGGTACTCTAAATTCTGTACTTTGGGAAAAGGATAAAGCTGTCAATTTACACTAAACTTTGATAAGCAAAGGTTAAATATGACCTAATTGTGGAAGATAAATGTAGAAGATAAATTTAAAAGCTCCAATAAGAGGGGCAACAGAGTGAATCAGTTGATTACGTTTCTGACGCTTGATTTCAGCCCAGGTCATGATCTCAGGTCACGTTTGTGAGTTCAAGCCCTGCTTTAGGCTCTTCACTGACAGTGTGGAGACTGCCTATGATTCTCTCTCCCTCTCTCTGTCCCTCCCCTGCTCACACATTCTCTCCCTCTCAAAATAAATAAACTTTTTAAAAAATCTCCTAGAAGATAACATAGAATAGTATCTTTATGGTTCTGAGATAGAAAAATATTCTTAAGTAGGACACAGAAAGCACTAATCGTAAAGGAAGAGATCGGTAAATTGATTATATTAAAATTAGAGATGGTTCATCTAGATACTATAGAAAGAGTGAAAAACCCAAGTACACAGTGGGAAAAGATATTTACAGCACATCTAACTAACAAAAGGCTCATATCCATATCTACAAATAAGTAGAAAACAAAACTGATAACCCAGCAGAAAATTGAGCAAGAGATTTGAGCAAAGTATTTCCAAAAGAAGAAATCCAAATTGCCTTAAACATATTATAATGAGCTCAGTCTCAGTCATCAGAGAAATGCATATTAAAACCACAATAAGATACCACTGCACACTCAACACCGTGGTTTAAATTTAAAAACTGATAATTCCAATTCTTGAGGATGTGAAGTAACAGGAATTCTCTGTGCCAGTAGGAATACAAATCGAAACAGTTCTGGAAAACAGTCTGGCACTCGCTGTGAGCACCACTTCTGCTCCTAGATGCTGTGGCATGAATTCATAGCAGTCTTATTCTCAGTGGCCCAAAACTAGAAATAAGTCATCTATCAACAGTGAAAGGGATGAATTATGATGTATTCCTACAATGAATATTCAGCATTCCGCAATGAAATACTACACTCCCAAGAAATGAATAAATCTTACTACATCAAGTTGAACAAAAGAAGGAAGACAAAAATCATACATGCTGTAGGATTCCATTTATATGAAGTACAAAAAGGCTAAACTTAATATATTCTGTTAGAAATCAGGATAATGGCTACCTTTGGGGAGGAGAAAGAGGCATGTGGTAATTGGGAGAAATGAGAATCTTCACAATATACATTATTTCTTGATCTGAGTGGTGGTCACCTAAGTGTTCACTCTGATAATTCATCAAGCATACACTTGTGTGTATTTTTCTCTATGTAGTTTCACTTCCAGTTTAAAAGCTTATTTGAAAAAAAAATACAATTGAGAACCCAGTGATACATGAGATTTATAAGGATTCAAATACAAAGTAATATCCTCTTTAGGATAATGAAGAAGAGAGCCTCTCTTTATATTGGTGATAGTGGGTGTTGTTTACCTGTCCCTCTTTCCTAGTAGACTCTGAACTTCTTGGGGCAGGGCTTGGGTCCTCATCTCTGCCTGACAGAGTAGATTCTCACAGAGCATGTGATTCACAAAAAAATGTCGTTAACATGAGAAATGTGCTCCTGTTCCCAGGTTAAGAAAACAACTGAAGCCACCTTGCAGACCATACAAGATATGGTCACCATTGAGGACTATGATGTTTCTGAATGCTTCCAGCACAGTCGGTCCACGGAATCTGTGAAGTCTACCGTCTCTGAGACCTACCTGAGTAAGCCCAGCATTGCCAAGAGAAGAGCAAACCAGCAGGAGACCGAGCAGTTCTACTTCATGGTGCGCCTGTTACTTCCCAGCCACTCTTGGGACTCATCTCTGGCATCTCCTGACAGCTTCTACAGCTGATCAGATCACCTGGGATCCTTTATTAAAATATGGACCCTCGTCTGCCCTCAGAGTTCCTGATTCTGTTGATCTAAGATAGGATTTAGGAGTTATACTTTTTTTTTAAATGTTTTTATTTTATTTTTGAGAGAGACAGAGTGTGAGGGGCAGGAGGGACAGAGAGAGGAAGACCCAGAATCCGAAGCAGGCTCCAGGCTCTGAGCTGTCAGCACAGAGTCCAACGCAGGGCTTGAACTCATAGACTGTGAGATCGTGGCCTGAGCAGAAGTCAGATGCTCAATGGATTGAGCCACCCAAGAGCTACCACTTTTTTGAAAGTTCCTCAGATAATTCTGAGAGGCTGACAGATTTAAAGAGGACTGCTATAAAACTACTTTTAAACTTTAATGTATATACATGTCACAAGGAGAGCTCATTAAAATGCAGGTTCTGATTTCAATAGGTCTGGGGAAGGAGGGCCCTGAGAGTCCACTCTGATAAGCTCCCAAGTGATAGTTAGTGCTGCTGTTCTGCTCAGACTGCACTCCGAGGAGCAAGGTTCTAGAATCTAGAAGATAAAAGTAGCTAGATTTTAGATATCTTAAATATCTTAAAGCTTCTTGAGAAATAGGTTTCTTTAAGTTAAAAATGAATCTTTCCTCTTGCAGAAACTCAGAGAATATTTGGAAGGCAGTAATCTCATCACAAAACTTCAAGCCAAACATGACTTGTTGCAGAGGACCCTTGGAGAAGGTCAGTTATCTGAAATAGACGGGAAGATGACATGGATCACGTATTGTGTCACGTTATCTATTCCATAAAGACTGTGAGCTATGGATTTGTGTTTTAAGAAGCAGAGAACACTGTTTGTTTAGATTGGGCTTTTGCTGTAGCAGTAACAATCAAGATCTCCCTGAAACTGTCTTCTTTTTAAGCTTGGTGCTAACCTTGAGGAAGAGTAGGGAAATCTGGCGAGGGCTGAAAAGCCAACACAGAGCTCCAGAGGAAGGATCCACAGAGCGCAGTGCTCCTAGCTGCCCTGCGCCCACCTCCTGACCACCCGGCCACTTCTTCCTTACCCTATGGGACTTCTCCACCCTTCCGGCTCCACCTCACTTGTTTCAGTGGGCCAGTATTTGTTGTCGCATCTAATGCTTTCCTGGACTCTAGAAACCAGTTAGACCAGTTTGGGCCACCTTCCCCCCCCACTTTCCATAGACATTGATTTTACTTGAGAAATAACCTAATGAAGTTTACTATGGTAGCTAATAGTAACAATAACAAAAACAGCAATAGCTGCCACTTACATAGGGTTTTCTCTGTGCTAGGCATTGTTCTAAACTATATATTGAACTGGGCTATTACTTTTCCCATTTTACAGATGAGAAAACTGATGGGGGACAAAAGGGATTCTAGGCAAAAGGAACTGTGCAAATTGTTGTCTCTCTTTTCATCTTCTTGAAATTTAAAAGGAAAAAATGAATATAGGCAAAGTCCCCTTTTTAAGTCTAATTTTATATTTTATTCATACCCGATCTTGCTAGAAGTTATAAAAAGTGAAAGAGAATATGGATGAGAGTAAGAAATGAGAGGACTGAACTGTGTAACTCAGACCAAAAAGAAGTTGCTGCTCTTTGACCTAAACTGTTGTCTTCTACCATTCTAGAACCTTCCTACCAACAAGACAGTTTTTTTTCATCACCTTATCTCCTGGTTTCCTCCGGGGAATGACCACTTGGAGAAAGGTCATCATGACCTAAGTCTACCATGTATTACAGTTAGGATGCCAGATTCTAAGATAAAGGCTGATTTCTCTTAGGAAAAAAAATTAACACTTAACCTACTAAAAAATGTCTTAAAAAAGACAATAACCAAACACAATATGTGAACTTTCATTAGATACTAAATCAAAAAAGCAAAAGTTAACAAAATACATTTTAAGGACAATTGGGGAAATTTAAAGATAGACTGTATATTAAATGACATTATTGAATTAATGTTAATTTTCTTAGTTATGACAGTGGTGTTATGATTATGAAGGACGATTCTGATTCTTAAGAAATGCTTGCTAAGTATCATAACATTTGCAAGTTACTTTCAAATGATTCAGGAAAAAAAAGAGTAAGAGAGAGGGAGAGAGAAGGAAATATGGCCAGTGTGGCAAAACGGGAAATCTAAGTGAAGGAAAAATGAATGTTCCCTGTACAAGGCATTCAAGTCTTCTATAATAGAGGTTTGAACTTCTTATAAAAAGCCCTTTTTCTTCTGTGAATCATGTCCCGAGTTTTTCCTTTTTTCCTTCAGGGTATCCCATAAGATAATTTTTTCCATTTACCACAAACTGCCTGATATTTCAGTGATGCCCCCAAGGTCAGTTGCCCGTCCCAAAGCATAAATTATTGTAAGCATAGATGAACACATACAGGCACAAAGTCCTTCCTTACAGGACTTGATACCACTTTAGAACTATCGTGAGTTGGAGGGAATTCAGTAGTGGGTGAATTCATTCTTGGCACTGCACAGAGACACATGTGTTAATTCACTTGGGATCACATTCTGAGACTTTCATGATACTCCTTCTACATAGATCCCCCTATGTCTCCTGAAGAGAAAGCCCCAACGGTTCATATTATTTTACATGCCATTATTGGATAGGGCTGCATTCTAACCAATTTGCTGAGTCTACATGCCAGATTCCATCATCAGCTGCCGTAATGTGTAAAGCTGTTTTGTACCCTGTGAGCTCTGAGCCAGGGTTTTCTTTATCTTGGAATTTCTCTCAATGGGTTCCAGTATCATAGTGATGCAAGCTCTGTTCAGGTGTAGCAGGCTGTCACCAGATTGGATTCATTCAGAAACCAATGGTTACCTCCAGTGGCATCAGACACACCAGTCTCTGCCCGCTTTTTGAGGACCTTTGTGCTCCCTGGTCCTACCCCACGTGTGGGTTTGGCCGGACCCCCCTTCTTGGTCACTGCCTTGGCTCAATGCTGGCAGCTTTGCCCGGAGAGAAGCTGAGCTTGGAGAATGTGCCCCGCCTTTGAGCCGGGCCGCTGTGAGCCCGCTGGCTTTCCGTGCAAGCCCTGTTCAAGTTAATAGGCTTATACCAGAGGAGACCAGGAGAGTTCATGGCGCCTGTCCCACAATGAGATAATCCAATGGTGAGCCCTTATGAAGGAATCCAAGTCTGGGTTTGGCTAATAAGGTTAGTAGCACAGGATTAAATGGTGTGTTTGGGGACAGGACTGACTTTTTATGTAAAAATCACATCTCTGAATTATGCTAGACTCACTGCTGCAAAAACTGCCTTCATAGTAAAACAAATAGAGCCTAACCCGGGGATTTAGCAGTTGATCGTACACAGCTGAAACTGTAACGACAGACATGTGTTTGGCCTGTCTTACTGCTTGCTTTTGGCAGCCTACCAGCGGTCCTCTAAGTCCTTTGATTTACAACATTGCAAAACAACTAGATTGGGCCCTTAAAGGAGTACTGTCTTAAAGGAGTGTCAAAATTCAGAATTCCAAATCTTCAAAACTACTGATATAACAACAAACACATAATGAGTTGTTAAGAGCAAAGTCATCAACTTCTTCGTCATCCTTCAGCAACACTGTTGTATCCTTTTGTGCTGTCATTTGTTTTTAAATTGGAGAAGTTACATCGATATAGTAAATGAGATACACATTGGCAAAACTGAGGCACTGAAATTGTTTCTTTTTCTTTTTATAATGAGCCTTCCTGTTCACACTGGCTTCTTTGTGTGCAGCATTGGAATTAAGGGGGGTGTAAAGAACAGTGCAATTTTCTCTTAAGCAGAAAACCCCACACTGGAAGCTGAGTTCCACGTTCGATGGTTCCTAGACCTGGGCATAGGTTTCAGATCAAGGAATTAAATGGGTTATCCTCATCCAATCCATTGTCTGTCTTTGAGTAGAAGTACAAACACACTTTCAGAAGAGAAGCTGATTGTGAATAATTATGTTTTTTAAAAAGCAGTGTATTTTTAGGAAAAAAGACTGAAAACGCCAGGAGTCCTTCTCAGTCATTCATTAGGGACCCAATCCCAGGTGCCTCCCTTCAGTTTGAGCTCTGCACATTTTAAATATTTCATCTGGTTAGATTTTTGTTGTTGTTTTTTGGTTAGCTGGTTTGTTTGTTTGCTTTAATCTCAAATTGCCACCAAACAGTATTTTGGTCTTCTATTTGGGTCTGTGGTGATAAAATACATTTGAGTGTAAAAAATGATTCACCCCCTTATTCCCAAGTGAAATGGTCATAATAGTCAACGTAGGTGTTTTAGCAAGAACAAGATTATCTTGGGTCATGGGTCATTTTTTTCCTCCAAATAGCTTAGCTTGTGGGATGGGGTGGGGGAAGAAGTTGTCTGTTGTTTTTAATAATTAAATAGCCTTCCAAACAAAGTGATTGAAATCTAATCCTCAAACCACTGGAAGCTTTCACATTTCTCTGGGAAGCAGATTCTCCTAAGCTTGTGTGTTATTGATCTATTAATGATGATACTGATTAAAAAATAAAACCTCATTCATCAGTTGAGGCACACTCAGTACTATTAGCTGAACAAAACAATGGATGTTGTGGGGCAGTTATAATATGAATGATAGTTTTTGTGAAGCTTGCTCTTGGTTCATTAATCAAAATGTATCTTTTAATTTTTTATCTCATACTATTAACCATGGAAGGCTGTAACAAAATGATTTTAAGCCATTTAATATGTGGTACTTTTCTAAATCTAGAGAATATTTGGTTGGGATATTTTAACCAAAGTAGCAACATTTTTCAGTTATATGAAACATTTCATTTCTAAGGAATTATTAGTGTCCTCATCATTGAATCACTTAAAAGTGATTAACCTCTGTTATCCAATTTAATATTATAGATACTTTCAAATTTTAACTTAACATGTATTATATAATTTAGTAAATCTTTAGTCTTTTGTATTTGACTTTAGCCCCATGGGGCAGAGAGAGTATAAGACATAATCCCTACCTTTCATTTAGAATCTTTCAAAGTATTTGCTGGGGAATAAAACTTACATTTTTTTATTATTTATTTATTATTATTTTAGAGAGAAAGGAGCACACACACGCATGTGGGAGAGAAAGGCAGAGGGGGAGGAAGAATCTTAAGCAGGCTCCACACTCACTGTGGGACCCAACACAGGGCTTGATCCCACAACCTTGGGCTCATGACCTGAGCAAAATCAAAAGTTAGACATTCAACCAACTGAGCCACCCAGACATCCCGAGACTTTTATTTTACAATATATTACTTGGGAGCTTAGGTCTAGAATTAAAACCAACCCGGACCCTAGGGCCAGACCCATCTCACACTAACAGCGTGACCTTGAGCAACTCACTCGCCTCCTGTATGCTCAGTCTCTCCCGTAAAATAAAAATAGCCAGTAAAAATCTTTATAAGATTGTTGTGAAAATTGTAAGTTAGTGTATAAAAATGCTTAGAAAAGTGTTCAGTAGTGGGCATCATTGCTGTTCTTACTGTTGTTAGTAATACATTTTATGTCATACTTCTATAATAATAAAGTATGTAACATGACAGAGTACAACATAAGCCAGCTAGTTCCTCTGCCTTCAACCATTTCCTTATTCTTTTTTTTAAATGTTTATTTTTTGAGAGAGAGAACACAAGTGGACCAGGGGCAGAGAGAGAAAAGGAGACACAGAATCTGAAGCAGGCTCTAGGCTCTGAGCTGTCAACACAGAGCCCAGCGCAGGGCTTTGAACCCATGAACTGTGAGATCATGACCGGCGCTGAAGTCGGATACTTAACCGACTGAGCTTAACCAAATGGCACTGTGCCCCCATTTGCTTATTCTGCTGATACACCCTGGGTAATCTCAGCTAGCTCCTGTGGCCCCAGAACAACCTAAATGCGTGGGGACTCTCAGATCTTCATCTCCAGCCCTGTCTTCTCTCTGTGCTTTAACCCTAAGCCAGCTTCCTACTGAAGGATAGCTCGTGAGACATCATGTGCCACACTCAGCTCACTGCCCCCCACCCCTACTTTCTAGTAGACTGACTCTCCAACTTATGAGTAGCTATAGTTACTCTTGAGATCTCTGTCCACTTTCTCCTTTTTCTTGTCCCCCAAAGTAGCAAAAGGCTAGCAAAAAGAAGGGGCTCTTAGAGTTAAATGATAGAGTTGAGTAGTGGGGGGAAAATCAGATTGTTCTCCTTTCCTCCTACCTGACTCCAAGTCATGGCCCACAGCTGATTCTACTAGACCTACAATGGCCTGAGTCTCTTTGAGGAAGGTATTCTCAGATAACAACTTTTGCCCACCCCCGCCAGTTTGGTAAATAGACATTAATCAAATACTTTGGTTTTATTTTAATGTTTATTTGTGTGAGAGAGAGCAAGTGGGGGAGGAGCAGGGGGTGAGGACAGATGATGTGAAGTGGGCTCCCGTACTGACAGCAGAGACCCCTACGTGAAACTTGAACTCAAGAGCCATGAGATCATGACCTGAGCCAAAGTCAGACACTCAACAGACTGAGCCACTCAGGTGCCCCTCAAATACTTTGTTACTTGTTCTTCAAAAGCAGATAATAGAGTAAAAGACTCTTTTGCCTTTGAGTGTTCATTCACTGTTTTCCAACAAGCCAGCTTTCTCTACAATTATTATATTGGCCTTGCCCCGCAAGTCTGAGTCATTGCATTATGATATAATGGGTGGGGCGTACCTGTTAGTGCTGCAGCGTGACCCCTCTCTTGTTAGCTATAACTTCAGGCTCTTTCAAGACCATATCATTCTGCAAACAAACCAGTGGAATGGGTCAGTCTTCCCCACCCCTTCCACAGCTGCAGCCCACATGTGAGAAAAAGCAGACAACAACCACAGACACATTCACACTTGGAATTAGCACAGATCGTAGGAGCACTACAAAAATACAGATCTGATATTTAAATCAAGTCAGGAAGCCGGAATATACAAGAAGAACCTTATGTTTCAAATGACAGGGAGCTTTGGAAATGCTATTAGCTTATAAGTTGTAGAAGGTAGCATAATATAATATCCTTGTACTTAATATCTGCAAATGTCATTTCTGATTATAAAATGCAAGTTCTTACAATAAACTATATGTAAAAAAATAAAAAATAAATAGATATGAAAAAACAAAAAAAACAAAAAAAATAAAAAAAAATAAATAAATAAAATGCAAGTTCTCACCTGATGGTGTATTATTGAAAGAACACCAACTTAAGGTAAAGAAAATTGAGTTTTCCCAACCCAATTTGACCACCTTCTCCCCAGGTATCAGTCAAGACAGAGGAAATAACTAACATTCAAATCTTGGGTGTGTTTTATTTGTATTTCATTGTTAACCTTACAGTGATGATCCAACAGCTATTTCATGTTTTCTAAATAATAAGTAAATAAATATCCTTGCCTCAAATTGACAAGTGAAACATGTTTCTCTGATCTATAGGATTTGTTTAATTCCAGGTACAGATTTTATGAAATACTGTACTTACTTTAAATTACTTGTCTATTATTACATGCTATCCTAATGCTTTCCACCATAAAATTTGTAATTATTAGAAACTCATCATCTTAAAATAAGGGACAAGGGATTCAAAAGATTACCAAATACATTCCACTGATTCCATTCACTTAACTTATTTTAATTTTTTTCCTACAGGTCATAAAGCTGAATATATGACTACAAGGTAGGAAAATGTTTTATCATAACTCATTGGGTCTCACCCTTTTTCTTTCTTTACAACAAGCAACCATTTCAATGCCACAAGAATGAACATACTTTGCTAATGAACATGGAAGATAGTTTTGACTCAGTAAAACCTAGTTACATGACATGTTTTGGGTTCTCATAAAACCAAATTTACTCCTGCAGATCTGAGGGCTTCTCATTGTGATTGTAAAGCTCATTAATGAGTAGACTGCTTAAGAAAGACCGAAACCAAATGGGTTTGGTTTATCTAATCCAAAACACTCTAAGTTTCTAGAAATAGTCTGATTTGAGAATTTAAGAAGCAACATTATGTACATATCTGGTGTATTAGCAAATAGAAAGCATGATTAGTTACTTTCTGTTCCACTTTTCCTTATGTCATATAAAACTTAAACCTCTACTGAGTATTCAGGATTTTAGCTCCTTGCCCTTTTTGGGTTCACTTGAAAGATTTAACTTTTAATACATCTGTATTGCACTTTTTTCTTTCTTTTTTCCCCCCTTTTTTTCATTCATAAAAGGATTTTGAAGCCACTGCTGAGAAAAGCCTTTTTGGAAGCGGATTCTAATTTGGGCTGCGGAGAGTGTGCAACTTTTATTTTTCTGTCCCAGCATTTGTATAACAGCCAGAAATTATTCTAGTTGGCATTTCTAGACTTTATACTCTTGAGAAGCTGAGTTCTCTTTGAGATGAGAAGCATTTAGAAGAGTGATGTGTGTGTGCGTGTGCATGCATGTATGTTGCAATAATTGACAAGTTGATTTTCAAGGCTCTGTATGTTTCTACTGGGCAATTTATTCAAAAGGAAGCTACTCTTGGTGAGCCAACTAGGAAGATACAGCTAATGACTTGTCTAAACTTTACAAAAATACTGAGGGTTTCTTTCTTCCCTGTGTCAGTGATGAAGAGGAATATTACTTCTGCAGTTTATGGACCTTTTTTTCCATATATATTATCTTTGTACTATCAACTGTGTTACCTGTTGTCTCTGTTATAAGTAATATAAGGCACTTGAAAAAAAAAATTTTTTAGGGACGCCTCAGTGGCTCAGTCATTTAAGCCTCTCACTCTTGATTTCTGCTCAGGTCTTGATCTCATGGTTCATGGGATCGAGCACTGTATGGGGCTCCGTTCTTGGGATTCTCTCTCTCTCTCTCAATAAATAAATAAATAAATAAACTTAAAAATATTTTTTCAAACATGAAGAAATGCAAATGTATTAATTTGCAATAAGAACTGTCATTGCCAAACAAACTAGATATTTGCATCAACTTGACTTGTGCTCTCTGTCATTCACATGGGCATCCTACGTAGGAGGCCAGATTAAGGAAACTGTGGCAGGTACCAAACCAGAACTGGTCAAATAATCCAAACATAAAACGGCAAGGTTCTGATTCTGTTCACGTGATGTGGGCATTGGTAGAGCAGCTCCGTCTGTGTGCCAGGCTGCCGGATAAGCCCCCCCGCCGCAGAAGTTACTTTGACAAGCACTTGGGTCACTTGTTTTCATCTCAGGTTTCTCTCACAACGGTAGTGTCTTCACATATGCCCCATAATTTAGAATCATCAAGGGAGGCGATTTTTAGGCCTGTGGTAGACAACTCAAAAGACATTTCTTCATTTGCCCCAACCAGGAGCCGCTCTGTGTCTCTCAGTCATGCAGGAACCATTATCTAGCCCTGTTAGGGGGCTTTGGCTCGATCTACAAGATTTGCTTGTCTCATGAATCCATAACCAAACAGAATGAGCCTGTGCTCTTACCCCTTGAGCTTCGTCAGCTGCTCTGGATATCACCAAATGTGCAGCTCTGATAGACTCTGTAATGACCATTTTTTCCAGTTTCTGTATTTGATGCTTTGATGTCTTGGGGATACTTTGCTCATTTTGGAGGAACTGCCTCTCGCAAGGTTAGCCAATTTGTAGAAATAGTAAAGGTCATGCTTGCATGTGTGCCTTTTATATGCAAACCGACCCATCCAGACCCATACCCCCAACCGCATCCTTTATGGGGCTTTCACTTTCAGGGTGACTCTTCCCCTTCCCTAATCACCACAGAGCCAGGTGCCAGACAACTGTTCCCAGAGCCTCCCCAACTTATTCCGCCTAGCCAGTCCTAACCTGCTTACCCTGCCTTGTCCATTCCTTCCTGTGGAAGCCACAGCATTGCCTGTACTTCCTCTCACTCCCTCTGCCTCCTGACTGACCACAGTGCTACCTCATGGACCACCACCTCTCCCATGGAGTAGCATGGCCCCCTCCTCTTGGGAACTGTGGGTAACACACTATCTTTTCACTGACTGTTACCTCTGATCTGTTAGCCCTGCCACACCTGAATAAAAATAAAGTCTACATTTTTAAACACTTGTAAAATAATGAAAAGAGTAGATGAACCAACCACATAAGGTTAAGCTCCTTGATGGGTGGTAGTTTTGGTGTTTATGCCTACCAGATCCTTTCTTCTGCAAATGGCACAGAATTCAGTGTGCAAAAGAGATTTCCAAAATGTCAGCTGTGGCAGGATGTGACATGGTGCCTGGTAGAAGTGTCTGTATTTGTTTCTAGACACTTGCAAAGACTCCTTGTAACCTCTCAAGCACGTGGGGCTTCAGGTGCTGTTTGCTGTACACTCCACCAGTCCTCTGAGCCTAACTGCTGGTTGAGTCTTAGAATTTGACTGTGGAAGGCTGTCAGGTTTGCTCCCCTACCTCTCTCGGTAGCTTGGTAATGTCTTACAAATCTAGTCAGGCTTCCTCGTATTCTTGGGATTTTTGTTTCTGAGCTGAACTTTTGTTTCTAAACTCTCTGAACTTTAATGAGCCAAAAAGATAATTCTTCCTAGACAGTTTGCAGCATAATGAAAGACTTCACCTAATTTTTTTTTAAGTGTGATGTATACCCTCATATAAGCCTTCCAATTAAGAAGGAGTTAAAATAGAATGTCTGAAGAGAATTCTTGGGGCTATTCTTCCCTGTACTCCATTCAGCACAGTTGTAGAAGCTGAGTCAGGCACTTCTGCTCTCTTTGCTCTTAAGAGGAACAGAGGAAGTTCCCTCTCTGCATTACAGAGCAAGATGAGACAGGGTCTAAATATAACATGCGGAACACTGCACATGCCTATAGAGAGCCTGGCTTAGCCACCAGGGCAAACAGACTGGAGATGGAGAGAGTCCAGAACAGAATAAGGGGTGCATCCTAATGCTCTACAAATACGTAAGTGATGAGACAGTTGGTTGTAAAGAAATAATAATTCATATGAGCATGTTATCTACTGCCCCAAAAAAGCATTGAAACCATACTCATTATTTCACATGTGACTCCATTAATAGTTACTTTTACATAAACTAAAACCCCATGAATATCTGAGGAATATTAAACAGATGTGATATTTTAGTTGTAACCAAAAGTATTATATTTAATTTCTCATATTGGGATTATCAGGAGCCCTAACTTTTATGACTTGTTGTGTCGTCTGTGGGACTCGTAAGCCAGTCGAATTTGTAACACTTGGCCAGATAGCTCACAATTCCATTTTTAAACAAACTAGCAAACAAATGTCAAATACAACATACAAGAAAAGAGTACGCTGAACGAATAGTTTTATGGTCTTTGATCACATAAGTAAAAGTAAGTAAATGGGAAATGGGAAGAAGTGTTTTCCCCTTGGGTAGGGATGGGGAGGGAACATAAGAATTCTTGTTTTGCAATTGTGATGTGACCTATGAGTGTTTCATTTATTGTTAGATTTCTGCCATGCTCAGTAATTATATTCCCTTCCCTTAGGCCTCCAAACGTTCCCCCTAAGCCCCAGAAACACAGGAAGTCCAGACCCCGCTCACAGTATAATGCTAAGTTGTTTAATGGGGATTTGGAAACATTCGTCAAGGTACTGGCACCAGCCATCTGGGTGGCTGATCTCCACGCTTCTTGCTATAATGGTCTCAGCCTCTCATAAAAGGAGGCAGGTCATTATGTCCAAGTCTGTCCTGGGGCTCTTTGCTTTCCCAGAAAATCAATATAATATTTCCTGAAGTCAGAGAGGAAAGAATATTTGGTCTGAGTGCCTTCAGAAGAGGAAATAAATGTGGGTATTATTATGCTGGCAAAAGAAAGCCCTGTTTCTTTATTAAAAAAAAACAAAAACATAATTTGTGCAAAAAGGAAAAGAGCTACCTGATATGTTGGTTTTATGTGTTTTTTTTAATTTATTTATTCAAATTCAACTTAGTTAACATACACCGTAAAATATTTTATTTTTACTTGTGCAAATTAGATGGCACAACATGTATCTTTAAAGTACATTGTTAGGGTAGCTCTGGAGCACGAGAGTCTTGATTTCCCGTGACTTGAGGAATTCATTATATTGGATAAATTGTAAAGCCCTGTGGTCTGTATCTTGTATCTCTGCTGTGTTTAATCTGTCTTCTTTTTCATCCTGTATTTCTGATAATGCTTCTAGCCGAGGACGAAGGAACTCACACGCGAGACATCAGGTATAGTGCAGAGGGAGGCGAGGGCCCAGCCTCTTTCGCTCTTCGTATCATTTTCAAACCATAATCACGCTTGGCTTTAATTGGAATTTTTAAAGACTTTAAAAGAAAAATGTTTGCAGTTGGAAATTAGACGGGTTTAAAAATAGGCTTTCCTCTTTATAGATTCCTATCTATTTACTAGCAAAAGGAATTAAAGAAATCAAACACTGATTTTGGAAGATTTGTCTTCTCTAGTAAAACTGGATAGACACTTTTTATATTACATACTTGGAAGTTGTGCCAAATTCAAGTCAAGGGCTTTTGTTAAGGCACGCCAGTGTTAAATACCAACTGTGCACAATACTGGATTGTGGACCCTCATATAAATGATACAAAAAAGAGAAGAGCTTTCTTTTTCATGGCTACCATTTTATGACACTGTTTCAGAAGATTCAACTTACATAGGAAGCTACATCATTAAGAACCTCCCTAATAATATGTTACAGACGGCTTAGTTTCTTTAAAGACAGATCTTTTTTCAAATATGTACACTAATGGCTAAAAAATGTGTGTGTGCATGTGGCATGTACACATGGACAAATACACACACACACACACACACACACACACAGATTAAAAACCTCTGGCAGCTTTAAAACCTCTAGCAGCACTAATACCCTTAACCTTGGCATTAAGTGAAAAGCCACTGGACAACCTAAATCACAATCACAAACCCACTGCCATAAGCCTCCACAGAGCCTTATTGGCTCTAATTTAATATAAAATTATTGTCAAATTTGATTAGCTAGTTTCCCAGCCCCCGGCCTATAAGCAGGGGCAAATGAGATGGAGAGAAGGGAAGATAAAGGTAAGGTGAGAGGCCTGAGATGTGCAGAGGAGGGCTGTAGGAAAGCTCAAAGAAACAAGTGTGTGATCCCATGGTATTTGATAACCTAATACAAGAATGACTGCTTAAGATGATAGAACAGCTACTATTATATTTTTAGAGAGATTTTTTTATTAAGAACTGTTAATGGCAACCAAATTTAGGTACTAAAGAAGGAGCAAACCAGTTATTACGGGAAATTCACTTATGTGAGCTCCTCTATGTTCCAGATGGCATATTAAAGAACCTTTGGTCATAGCAGTAAAACAGTGGATACAGAGATCTCTGTGCGTCTGAGACTTGCTCGATCGGTTGAGGTCTCCACAATACCACCGTGAGACAAGCAAACCACTTTTCCTTTCTCCCATAGGAAAACTGAGGTACAAAGGGATGTATTTGAAAGATAGATGGAGCACAGCCATTGTTTCACTTCTTATAAAGTATTTTCTACCAACACATTTGGCATCCATGAAATTAAAACACACACACTATTTTTTTACCACAAAATTCATAATACCAGAATAAAATACAGATGATAAGCAAAATATTAGCAATTACCTGAATAAATGTAAAGATGAAAATATTTTTAAATAATATGAATACTGAAGACATTTTTATCAAGGACTGTCTTTGTGCAAACATTTTTCTTTTAATAACATTTTATTCTTTGTTTTTGCTTTAATACTAAGTTCAGCAGAGGTGCAAACTAATATTCTCCTTTTATCCCTTGCATTTAAATATTTGTTGCTCTTCTAGAGTACAGTGTTAAATGAATTGCTCATATAAGAGATACTCTCCCTAAAGCACACATATCTAAAGGGAAAATCCCCTCACATATTCAGTAAGTTTTGATGTTATTACATTGCTATTCTTGAGCCAACTAGTCACACTAAAAAGAGTTTTTATCCTTGAGGACCTTCTCTAAGAAATTAATAAAGTTTATATACCTAAAACAGTTTAACTAATTAGAGAAACTTAATCCAGGCTCCAGAAGTAATTGAAGCATTTACTAGTTTACACACTGATTAGATGGTCTTAAAACTGAAAATAAAACTATTCCTCGAGAAGTATATTACCCATTGTAGGAATAATAAAGAGTTTAAATTGTTCAGCTGCAGTGTTCCCCATTCTTCCCCTGTTGCTTAATTGGAAAGGCTAGTGGATTCTGAATTGTTCTAATATATTAAGACAACCAAATTCTTCTTGTATTTCAGAATAAAATTCCTCATGAATTAGTACCTGATGTCTGCTAATCGTTTTGAACCTCCATGTTTCCTGTAAAGATCTAATTGCTGAAAGAGCAGAATCTTTAAAAGTACATGAAAAATAACTCCATAGTCTGTAACCTTCTTTAACTCCATGGAGTGCATGGCATTGATACTTATTTAACTGTGACCTCAGCAGCTCCTTCATCTCATCTGTCATCCTATACATGGTTTTAAAAAGTTCCAGAGTTCACATTTGTTCACTGACTATACAGTGAAGAATGCACTGACTATATTACAAGATGTGGGGAAAGAAGGCCAAAAAACCATCCCCTCCTAAGAAAGCAAGATTTAATGGGATGTGCATTTGTGCAATCTTTTCATAATCCTTAAAACATGTAAAAATAACAACGAAAAATCCATGAGTAAGTTCTGATGCAGACCAAATAAATATATGACACATTATAATCCTCTATAAAGCAATCCTCATATCCTGCATCTGGAAACATGTAAGTTTTGGGGTTTTTTTAAGTTACTGTTGTCATCCAGATGGTGTACTCTCGAGGATGTCACAGAGAGGATCCTGCGATGGCCAGATTGTTGTGTTTGGTGACCAATATGGCTGTAAGATGGCCATCTAAGATAGTCCTAAAATGCTAAAGTTAGAATACAGAGAGTTCTTTTTAGGTCCATTAGATTAATTACTTGTATAAATAATCTTTTTAAAAAATGAATGAGCCTAGATATAAGGAAAAGAGATGAATTAGCATTGACATCTCTAGACACAACAGAGTAGATTGGAACAGAATTGCCTTAGATGTATTTAATTTGGTTTGCTCCAGAATTGAAATATACCTTTGGTTAAATATAATTTGATTTTTGGCCTTTGTGGAATATTTTAGAGGGGGATGTATTTGGAAATGATCATCTAAAAGGAGTAAAAACCACTCTTTAATTAGGGTTAAACTATGAGCTTTACTACTGTGTGTGATTTATGACTCTCTTTTGTGGTTAAGTGGTTTCCATCTCTTTACCCAGGACTCAGGACAGATTATCCCCCTCATTGTGGAAAGCTGTATTCGGTTCATCAATCTCTATGGTAAGCCATCTTTTCTTTTCTTTTTTTTTTTTCTTAAGATTTATTTAATTAATTAATTTATTTATTTATTTAAGTGATCTCTATACCCAACTTGGGGCTCAAACTTACAACCCCAAGATTAAGAGTCACGTGCTCCATCAACTGAGCCAGCCAAGCAACCCTGGAATTCTTATTTAAAAAAGTAATCACTATAGTATTTCAGTGAATGTGCTTTCCATTAAACATTTGATTACTGGAGAAAGGGGAACCTGGAGGCTGTGATGGGAGTTTTTCATTGCCTTCCTCTTCTATTCTCTTTAGGTCTTCAGCATCAGGGGATTTTCAGAGTGTCCGGTTCCCAGGTGGAAGTCAATGATATTAAAAATTCATTTGAAAGAGGTAATGGCATGTGTATACCTACAAACAAACCATGTTAAAAAGCCATCATTTGCCATAGAGTGAAGTGGCATACTCATTCTCTATATCTCCAAAACCTTTCATTTCATTTTGGATGTTGACATACGAATCTGTTTGGGATAGCTGAGAAATGAAGCCAAAATCATAAAATTTTGTAATCAAGTATAGAAAAGCATATGAGCTTTATATCCTGGCTTAGGACTAGCACTGACAGTCCTCAGCGTATGTCATAGGTGGCATGTGAGAAGGTTCTAGAAGAACAGCCAGATAGCCCTGGGCCTCCATGGCAGGCATTGGAAGTGACTCATCCCAGCTGCATGTCTATGTCCTTTGTCAGGAACACTTTCCTTCCTCTTATTACCACCCGTAGATTCCTTCCCTGTGACCTTAGTTGGTGCCTCACTTTTATTCATAATTGGCTATCAAATACTAGTGAACTGTTAATTCACACATTATAATTAGCAAAACCATATACTTTAGTGTTAGGGAGACCCAGAATCAAATCAAACTCTTTCATTTACTAATCATTTGATTTTGGTCAAGTTACTCATCTTTTATTTAGGTGTCAGTTTCCTCAGCTGCAAAATTCCAAGATTTTGAGGAGGTGGTGTAATCAGTGCAAATGCCTGCCTCCTTAGTGATAGCTCTTAGTTATTGATGCTCCCCAGTCATGATGATTTGTGTCACGTTGACCTCTGGATAAATAAGTCTGTATCTTCCTTCCTCTGCTTGGAAGTCGAGCTGAACGTGCAGAGTGAGACATGGAGACAGGGCTTCTCTCTCAGTCCCATTTCCTTTGGCACAGAGCCCTTGAAGTCTGAAACCTTGGTGGAAGAGGCAGACTTGGAGCCAGATTGTTTTTTCTGTTTTAAGTTCTCTGATATGATACGTGGCCTTCGCTCTCAGCAGCTCAGTGACCCCAGACTCTTACATGAACCATGCTCAGCATAAGTTGAAATGTCTAAAGCATCACTTTCCTGTGCCAGTCACCACAGGCAAAATGCTTTATTATTTTGCCTTGGAAATCCCCCCGGTTTTTTGTTATTTGTTTGTGATCTCTTTGGGTGAGGCTTTCTCTCTGTAGGAAAAAAAATTTGTAAATTTGTGTTCAGAGAACACAGAGAAAAAGGAATCACAGGTCCCTGAAAATAAACTGCCCCAAGAGGCAAAGAAAGCAGGAAGGGAGGAAGGGAGGAAGGAGAAAGAAAGAAAAGAAAGAGAGAAAGAGAGAGAGAGAGAAAGAGAAAGAAAGAAAGAAAGAAAGAAAGAAAGAAAGAAAGAAAGAAAGAAAGAAAGAAAGAAAGAAAGAAAAGAGAGAGAGGAAGGAAGGAAGGAAGGGAAAAGAAAAGAGAAAAGAAAAGAGAAAGAAAGAAAGAAAGAAAAAGAAAGAAAGAAGCTAAAATATACAATTTTTGTGAATTTCAGAACAGACATGTGAATTAAAAGCAGAGTTTGATTTGAGGCTGCATGTTACGTTGAACTTCTTAAGGATTTTATCTCTGTTTAATTCTTAGGGAGTGGGGTAGCCAGGCCAGTTACCATAAAGAATAATATAATTTCCTATTTGTAATATATTTTTAAAATTTCTACTTTTTATACAAATACCTTGGTACTAGTAAGGGAACATTTTCAAATTCCTCTATCTGGTTTCAGAATCCCCCACTGCTGAAGGCAGCTTTCACATGTGCCATGAACACTGCTATGCCACTGGGAAATACTTATTTAATTGTAGGAATTCACAGTTAGGTGCATCCTATAATACTTCTGATATTGTATCTATAGTGTGTCTTTTTCCAGTAGGACAAAAAAACAGAGTGTAGTATTTGAATTCATGTCAAGCTACGATTAGATTTTAACTTTAAATCCCACAATATTTTGTTTTAACATTTGGGTAACTTGTAAGGGATTAGGTAGCATAAGATTTTTAAAAAAGCTTTATTTTAACCAACTGTTTTTAGATTAATCATGGGTTGGGATATCTAAACCAATTATTTCAATTTTAGTACTATATAATCTTTCATAAAGTGAAATTGAAAGATACATGTATAAATAGAATAGAAACATGTGTGAGTACAGAAACATATTTTCGTTCAGAGATAAAAAGCACTGTGCATGTAACTACTTTTCTTTTTGTGTAGGTGAAAACCCTTTGGCTGATGACCAGAGTAACCATGATATTAACTCAGTTGCTGGCGTTCTGAAGCTCTATTTCCGTGGGCTGGAAAACCCCCTCTTTCCTAAGGAAAGATTCAATGATCTGATTTCTTGTATCAGTAAGTGGATTTTTTTTTTAGTCTTTTCCCACCAGAATTGTTTCACTAACGGATTTCCTGGAAAGGCAGCGGCCCTTCTCCACTTCTCCTCCCCTAACCATTACCCCATTACCACCAGATTTTTGAGACCATTTGTTTTCTTTCTGGATTCAACGTGAGTCATCCTCCAGCTGTGGCCTCTCCCTTAGCTGAGTGGGTTTTGCTCCTGAACATCCGCAAGTTCCATAGAGCCCGAGAGCTTCCCATTAGTGACTGGAATAAAGCAGAAAGACAGGTGCCAACTGGCGGCCAAAGGAGAGGAGGAAGTTGTAAGCATGGAATGTAACTTTTTTTTGGCTTTTGGTTCTTGGTTTTCTCGACCAATCTCAGGAGTGGAGTAATTTACCCATCTTGGAACGCTACCTCGAGAACTAAGGTAAAATGAGATCAATGATCATTAGTACAGTGCGGGGACACCAGGTGGTGATTATCTGTCTGTGGGCATCCCCTGCTAATAGGCAGAGTTGCTCTGGGACTATGTATATCATGAAACCAATAATCATCAGCAGGTAAATAGCATCACTGGATTTTTTTGGGGGGTGGCCTTTGACACTACAGGAAAGGTGAAAATAATGATGCCCAGAATTAGGTATTAACCAAATGGAGTTCCATACATCTAAAATTGCAGTGTGGCTTTTAATGTTGATCTCTTTTTGAGAGAGAGCATGTGAGTGGAGGAGGAGCAGAGAGAGAGGGGGGATCTGAAGATGGGAGGCTCGAACTAAGAACCATGAGATCATGACCTGAGCCAAAGTTGTAGGCTTAACAAACTAAGCCACCCAGGCGCCCCACGGTATGCCTTTTTAAACCCCAGTTCCCAGGCAAGGATCTAGAGCTGACTCAAATCTGGCAGCAATGGCCTGCATAAGAATCAGGCTTGCCTCGGGGTGCCTGGGGGATCAGTCAATTAGGTGTCCAACTCTTGGTTTAGGCTCAAGTTATGATCTCACAGTTCATAGTTCAAGCCCCGGATCTGTACTGTCAGCACAGAGGCTGCCCCTCCCCTGCTCTTGCGTGGGCTTGCTCGCACTCCCTCTCTCTCTGTCTCTCTCTCTCAAAAAAAACTAATTTTTTAAGAAAAGGAATCAAGAAACCGTCTTACCCCACCTCCCCCACCCACCTACCCTTGAATTCACCTCCCACCACCCCCCCGTCAAGTCCTCCTACCCTCAGAAACTCTCCCAGCTCATCCCTCCTTCCCCGTTCCCATTGCCAGTGACTGGGCTTCCACTGGGACTGCTCTTAACAGTGGAGTCAGTCCCTCCTTCTAGGTCTTTCCCCCCCCCCCCACCATGTCATTCTGTCCCTCGCACCGCGGCTGGATCCCACAGGGGAAATTTGGTCCTATCATTCCCACCGCCCTCATTTAAAACCTATGCAGAGTTTCCTACGAGAAAACGAACTCCTTGGTGTGACCATTTAAAGAATCGAATCCTTCCTCTGTCCGGTCTCTTTCTGCTTGTGTGCGCTTCCCGTCCTGCCACGGCGGCGCTGCGTACTTCGTGTATCAACAGCAGCAAGCCGCAGCATGCCGGGGCGTCGCCCGCCTCCGTGCCTTTGCCCACGCCACGTGGTCCCCTGGCCCTGGTAGCCATTTGATACCTGCTCTGAAGGCTCTGCCGGCCCAGCACCCTCTCAGCGTGTCGTCCTCCCCACCACCCCCACCCCCATTAGTCCCTGTCTCCTCTGCTAACGTTCCGCGGTGTAGGTAGGTCTGTCATTTTTCTTAACGCCCCACATTACAGTTTTTAACCCCTCCTTCTCTGCTACAGAGAGAATTCTGGGAAGAGGTTAAGAATGTAGGCTTTGAACTCAAATAGCCTAGGTCCAAATTGCTCACCTGGTATGGGACCTGGGGCAAGTTTCTTAAGCTCTCTGCATCCCAGATTCATCAGCTATAGAATAAGGGCGGGTGGGTGGCCTAGTCAGTTGAGCGTCAGACTCTTGATTTCAGCTCAGGTCGTGATCTCACAGTTTGGGACATGGAGCTCGGCGTTGGACTCTGTGCTGATAGTGCGAAGCCTGTTTGGCATTCTGTCTCAGCTCCTCCCCAACTTGTGCATGTGTGCTTGCCCTCTCTCTCAAAATAAATAGATGGTTAACACAAATAAAAGAGGGAAAATAGCAGACCATATATCACAGGACTGTGAGAAGTAAACGAGTTTATCTATGTGAGATACCAGGAAGAGTGCCTGGCAAAGGCTATGTTCAAGAAACGCCTACAGTTAGCTGCACAGGCCTACGAGGTCTTGATAGATTATTCACTTTTGTAGCCCTAATACTTGGCATCATTAATTCCAGGGACGTAGTAAATGCATAACTCATAGTAGCTGAATATCACCCAAATTTCACCAAAATTCTTTTGTTGGCATTCAGGCATAAAATCCTGGCTCTTGTTGAGTATGAACTCACCAGGCAGAATTCTCTGCACCCCCACCCCACACAGGCTGATGTCTTGTGTGGGATTCAGAAGTGTGTCTTGTGTGTCCATTCCAAGGCCCTTACATAGCCTGAGTCATCACAGCAGGCCTGTGACCCAGCTGGAAAGAACTGAAAAGGAGGTGTCACACTTCTGGAATCCTCCTTTGGCCTTGTTCAGAGACTTTCCTTATATCCTAGCCAGAAAGCTTAAATCTGGAAAAATAATAAGCACTCCACAACGCTCGGTGGTTTTCTAGGTACACACATCATGTCGGCGTATATGTTTACATGTACCAATGGGACAGAGCACACTGGACTACCTTGTCAGTATTGTTAAGTTCACTTCATCCTTTCATTGAACAAGAATATTGTTTCATTGTAGTTATTAAAATCTGAACTAGGGAGCCTGGGTGGCTCAGTCAGTTAAGCGTCTGACTTCAGCTCAGGTCATGATCTCATGGTTTGTCGGTTCCAGCCCCGCATCGGGCTCTGTGCTGACAGCTCAGAGCCTGGAGCCTGCTTCGGATTCTGTATCTCTCTCTCTCTCTCTGACCCTCCCCTGCTCATGCTGTGTCTCTCTCTCTCTCTTAAAATAAGTAAACATTTAAAAAATTTTAATAAAAAATAAAATCTGAACCATAGTGTCAGAAAGATCAAGGTTCATATTCTAGCTTCACCACTTAACAGCTTTGTAACTTGGGCAGAGAGAGAGTAACACTTAATCTTAATGAATATCTGTTTCTTTATTTCTTGAAGTCTTTGTGCAGAATGAATGAGATAATTCACATAAAGCACTTAGCATCATGCCTGCCTGGCACAATGTAAGCCTCAGGAAATGCTGGTAGTTACCATAGTCACAACTGTTAACACCGACTCCTCCTACCATCTGAGGTCACATAAGCCAGTACCTACCTTTGCCACTTTCCAATCTGACATCATCACCATACCTGCATTTAGAAATGAGGCTATCACCCAGAAGTTTGGTGGCTCCAGCATGATTTCTCCCAGCACATTAAATGTTTTGTAACAAACAAAGACAAGCTGTCTCACAATGGAAGTCAGGCTTAGTGAAATATGAAGACCTTTAGGGAAAAAATGGAAAATCTGCAGAAATATCTTTCTTTTCATGTAAACTGTGCCTTACATGAAATGCTAGAAGTTCAAATGAAGGAGTTGCAGAGACATCCTCACTGTATTAAAACAAGGGTTTAATGAAAAGCAATGGATTAATAGTCCTTGGTTAATTTTTATGAAAATACTCTATTAGCATTCAGTGCCCTCCAGGACCTACATCTCAAAAAAGCAGGGGTCCCGGGGTTTGAAGGCTGCTAAGAATGCTAGAGAGTAGAGATGCTAGTTAGTAGATTTAATGTGCTAGTCATTAGGTATTAACAGTCAGTGTTACTGTTAGTACTGTAGTTACAAAGTTGCATAGGTATTGAGCAGTGTGTCCTAAGGCTACTTCCCTCCCCCCCCCCCCCCCCCCCCCCCCCCCCCCCCGCAAGTCCTGTTTTTAGTGCACAGTTTTGCAGAATAGGAGGTTTTTCAAGAAGGTACACTGGCACTGTATATAACAACCCCTTTTCTTCCAACATCTAATGTCTAAAAAAGGAGGGGATTTTTGGGGTGCCCGGGCAGCTCAGTCAAGCGTCTGACTTCGGCTCAGGTCTTGATCTCACAGTTCATGGGTTCAAACCCTGATAGTTCAGAGCCTAGAGCCTGCTTCGGATTCTGTGTCTCCATCTCTCTGACCCTCCCTTGCTCGCTCTCTCTCTCTCTCAAAAGTAAATAAAAAACATTAAAAAAAAAAAAAGGGGTTTCTAGCTATTATTGATTTATCTCTAGGCAAGCATTTTCTTATACCAGTGTGATCCTGATATGTACCATATTTTTTTCTGGATTTCCAGGCAGTTCTTTGTGAATGGTATAACATGTTATTCATCATTATATCCTTTTACTGACATTACAGTTTTTGATCATCTGAACCATTGATTAATTGCCTGCAATGCACTAAACTTTCTAGGGATTCGAAGACTTGATTTTTGCCTTCGAGAGGTTTAAAAAATAGGAAGAGAGCTAAGATATTTACAAATAAATGCAATCTAAGTTAGTATGTAATAGAAGCAAAAGAGAGAGATCTCATGCCGGTTGATTGTTTTTATCCATGTCATCTTCTAGCATTGCTATAATTGGACTCATTTTCCCCATTAAGGTAATTTCGTGTGGTATTTACTTTGTATAGAAAAAAACCTTCCCTTTTTCATCTTTTTTAAGAGTTTACATAGGTCTCTGGTTACCACTGCTTTTTGCTTGTATTTTGGAGCATTTGGTGGAAGATTTTTTTTTTTTAAATGGTGAGTTGTTATTGTGCCATTTTCATGTCCCTAAATACTACATTCTTTGGAAGCTTGCAAATACGCACAGTAAAAGAAAATTGGTATTAGCACGTGTGCACGCACTCTTTTTAATGTGCACTATTCATTCCCCAATTCACTGCAGATTTCTTTTTTAAAAAGTACTTATCTGAATGAAGACCTGGT